TCATGATCTCAGCTAGGAGAGCCTAAAATGTGATTCATAGAGGACTATTTTCAGCCTGTTTGGGCTTTTGGGCAAGCAGGGCAGATATTAGTCCTTTTTTTTTTTTTTTTTTAAAGGATATACTAGTTAAGAAATACATATTTTGTTAAATTCTTTTTGTAACTAAAATCTTGCTTCAGTAAGTATGTATGCATTCTGTACCTGTGCAACGGGACTTGAGAAAGTTTGTAGGAAAACGATAAAGTATGAGTTTATTTTGGCGCAAAGTAATTATAAAATCCTCCATAGTTTCTCGATAATAAGCATTTCCTATGAGCTTTTCAAAAACGCATCGTATAACCAGTAACACAGGAAGAGGAAAAAATTAGAATATCTCCAATGATATTTGAAAATCTGTGTACTGAACTAAAGTCGTATGGGAACTTGGTTTTCCTTGTGGAAAGAAACTGCAGATTCAGTCAGTGCATTTTATCACATAGACCGCAAGACAGAGTCTTGGTACAATACTTTAACTGGAGTTCCCTGTCCCTATGGCGAATTCATTTTGACATTTGTGTAATAGCATGAAAGATCTATAAGAACCACCGTGTGCTTAAAAAATCCATTTTAATATTGAACTCTTTTCCTCCAGTAAATATGGAATTCTTGCTTAGATGGTTTATGTTTGTATTCCTGTCCACCTTATATCCTCCACTCGAACTGTGCTGTCTCCGATCCCCGGCAGGCGGTTAACATCCAGAGTAGGGCCTCATGTACTGGAGGTACTCGATAAGATGGTGGTAAACGGGGAACTTTGGACAGTGTGTGTATCAGTTCCGGAAATGAGATGGTAACTGAAACACTCAGCGTCTTTGTTTTAGACCAGTGGGGTCTGTATAAATAATCAGTCGTTCAAGGGTTGCGACACTGCACACGGCATAGGTCCCCGTGGTTTCCTAGCTGGGTATTATCAGAGCGGTAAAGCCTTGTGTTGTCATACGTGTTCACTGCATCTCGACCTGACACATGTTGGAATTCTCCACGTCCTTCCTCCAGTCCTGAAATTCATGTAAAACTTAGAATGTAATGTACTAAATGAGAAGAACTTCCCGTCCGAACATGTCACAGCTGATCACAACCACCAAAAAGAGTGAATCTCAAAGACAGACAAATATTCATGATTTGGCATGTGACTGAGGGATATTTACACATTAATATATGTAAAATATATGATGGTCATGTCGTTATTAGGTAAACATACAATAAAAAAAGAATAACCAAAACAAGTGGGGAAAAGAAGATGTATCCCAAAGGAAGGGCAATCCTTTCAACTGTCCATAAGTCTAGTTGGCAGATTATTCCTTATCGTCACGTTTGTCATTTAGCTAATTAGAGTAAATAATGAACACGGTATAAAGTGAAGAGAAACGTTGTAGTGTGAAGGAGCACAGCGTTGTCTTGTAGTTTATTTTGTCCTTGAATAGTTAGAAGATTAAAGTGTCTTAGTATTATTGAATTACGATTGTATTTTGAAAATAAACTCCTAGTACACCTTGCACAGTAAATACTAATGTCGTTAACTAGATATTTTTAATCGATGCCTGTAACTGTCGTAATGTGAGGATGTTCATTTATTGTTGTAATTAAAAAGGTAAGATAAAAGCTCAGGTAGTAGAGTTGGTAAAAGCGGGCTTTTAATAGTTGGCAGGCCAACACTGCTATTAAATAGTATTATGGTATTTAAGGTGTGAAATGAATATTTTTCTACTCAGTAGGTAATAGCTCTTATAATATAATGAGCTTCTTTGTGAATTCGACACTTGGGTTAAATGTAGGATTCGTGGAAGCACGGCTCTGGGGTATATTTTCATACTATACTTAACTGACAAAACCTAGGCATTATTGGAGAATCATATTAAAAAGGCAACAGAATTGTCAGTAAAATTTACTTTTGAAAATAAAAATTATTTTTCTGTTGCCTTTATAACTTCTTTTAAACCAACTATGGATAGAAATAGGTTATTAGAGTAGGAAATGTTACAACCTTCACACGGTCTTTGGCATAACAATTCTACCTGTGTATTAAACGTCCTGAGAAACCCTACCCTTTTCTCCCGGTCAGACAACTCAGGCCTCAAGTCTAGCTCCAACCTACTCCAGCGGTGTGCGCATGTTCAGGGTAAGATTAGCTTTAGTTTCTCACCTATCAAATGTTTGACCTGCTTCCTTCCCACAACTGGTTTAAAGTCTGAGGTAAAATGGATAAAATAAAGCCTTTGAAAACTCAAACGCAAGGCCTTGTATAATTAATTCTTTTGTGTTCACCTCATCCAAACTGCGAGCGTTGCTGCCTGGGTATTTCTCCTCCAGGGCATGTACTCATTCGTACCGTATGTTAAGGTGGTGGTTTTTTGAATTTTTTTCTTTCCTGTAGGCTTTTGCCATAGGGCACGTTCACTAGCCAGAGAGAGACAGAGAGAAAAATGAGAAATCATGCAGGGGAGATGGTCACGCCACAGTCCCTTCTCCTCCATTCTCCTGAGATTTTGGACATGCATACATGCGCGCGCACACACACACACGCACGCTTGACATGAGTTTCAAGCTGCCACGTCTGGGACTCGAACTGCAGTTGGCCATGTGGGAATCCAGCACCTTAAATACCACGCTATGCACTGGTCCCAGTTTAAGGTTTCCATTACCTGTTGAATTCAGTCTTCAGATGGTCACCCAACTCTTTGCTCTTCCCATGATTTGTATTAATGTGCTGCTAGAGTGTCAGTTTCAAGAGGATGTGGCCTCTGAGTTTGTTTAATATCTAAACTCAGTAGGTTGATTCAAATGCTGACTCCAAATTCTCTGAAGACTTTGGACAGGTCTTAGCACCAGTTGCCTCACCTTTGAAGTAGGGATACTGAAATGCAGTCGATCCGAGGATTTACTTCCGTAAGATCACTTGGTAAATGCTGACTGGACAGTCGTTGCTTTTCTGTTGCCTTCAGTAGCATTCCTATCTCTGTCAGTCTTTCGGTGCTGCAGGCGTTTTCTCAGTGCAGTAGAGTGACGTGCGAAAAAACATTGTCCACAGGAAAATAACTTGTCTATTAGCAGAAAGCGAACTGAGAGCAAGCTTGAAACTAACAATCACCGATAGACTATCTGATAGAGTATTTAATAACTTTGAACACCTACTACAGAGGAAGGGAAGATGTTTTACCATAAATTCAGAGATGAATGTCTAAAACTTTGACAGATGAGTTGTGAAATTTAAAATCAATGGCCGTTAACAATAGCTTCGTGTGCCTGATATTCATAGACTTATTTTTCATAGCCTAGGAAGTCTTCCTCTGGATTTGTGTGTTGTGGTTTGGCTTCACTGACTCAGATAGACCCCAGCTGCATTAACTCCTAGGGCACCAGCATGATCATTACGTGGCGCATGAGTAATAGAGCAGATCTCGTTCAGACGTTGGGTCGGAATGGGGTTGCATTATCTCCCAACTAATTTGCAGATGATACATTTACATGAAACAAAATGTAAAAGTAAGAAGACATTATTTGTTTGAATAAACATGTCTTGTAGTTTGACATGTTTCCTATCAAATTATATGACTTTTTTCTATTTTGTCTTTAACGGTCAAAAGTGAGAGAGCCTTACTGGGTGAGGAGGAGCTGGGTCTTGACTATCAGGCGGTGGTCGGTGTTTACCTTCCCGACTGTAAGCAGAGGGCCACCTCCCCCATCCCAAGGGCAGCTGACCTTCTCGTCGCCAAAAGAGGCAAGCCCTTGCCAGCACATGTGACTACAGACTATTACATTAATCTGTTTAGCGCTCCTGCCAGCTGCTTGCATGTTTTTAATTATCTTATTAGATGGTATAACAGTGACCTATGAAATAAATTGAAGGTGAACATTTTTAAACTTTCCTCCTGTAACTCTATATTTCTAAATATTTTTTTGATCAAACTGCAACTTTTTGCAAAAGTTAGAGGAAGTTGAATGGGTTTGGAGTCCAGCGTAATGCTTTTTATCAGGTTTTTTTTTTAAGTACAGCATAATGTCATCATTCCCAATATAGAATATAACTTTATTTTTGCCTCATTTATTAGTGAGGTTTAGGTTGTGTTTATGAAGCCAAAAAATCAGTGGCAAACTTGGCTTAATAGCCAATTTAGTTAGAGAGAACTCAGACCTGTTAT